TTTGGAACGTGGCAACTCGAACTGCGGCACTTCAGTGACAAGTTCTGTGTTGAAACCAGCCAGCCAGCCACCATAGACGTGGGGTGTTTCATCCCACATCTTGTTGGTGGGATATTCTACTTGATTCTAAGGGGTGTACTTCACTTCTTACAGTTGAATTTTGGTTGACTAATTTTATTCTGCAGTGTACAGTTGCTTTATACTTCTGCTAGAAAAGTATCTAGACTTTAACACGCTGTCTAACGGTACACTGTTGATGTAATTTTGAGTGGTTTTGATGTTGTTTATGTTGTTGTTGTTGTTAGTGGTGGTGGTGTTGATGTTCGTGTTGAATAGAATCACATTGATGTTACGACGAATAAGCGTGTGTTGTCTCTTTTGCTGTGAGTGTGTCTCAAGGAAGTTTCACTTCAGTCAGCTTTATATAACACAATAGGATACACAAAAATCGATTCCCTGAGTTCAGAACCACAACAAATTGATTTTAGTCGCTACAATATTATAATATTTTTAATCATGCAAGGATTTGTACACCGCATCGACAATACTGTGTGAAACAAGCCCACGGCAATTTTCACTTGTATTATTATCATTACCTTAGCTGCTATCATTATTATTATTTCCATTTTATATGCTGCATGTTTTTTATTTTTTTTATATTAACCCTATTGTAAATGTAGAAAAATTTTCTCTGTGATTAATTTTATTTATAATTTGAGGAAATTAGATGCAATATTGTGATTAATGCTGAAAATTGCATTCTGTATCACAAGTACTGTTTTTGGAATAAAGTAAATCATTATTATTATTATCATAATTAACTATAACACAAATGGGATACCTACACTGTGATATGGTGTGTCTGATGGTGTTCTCGTGATTTTTGTTGCCAGATCTGCTAGGGGCGATGGATGGGATAGTACGCCACCCCTAATGGTTGTGTGCAAGGTTTGAAGAAGGCTGTGTGCTATATACATGCGCTTCGCCCTGATAATGTTTACTACGTCAGTGGCACAACAGTAGAATGCTCGCTGATCACGCATATGCTCCGGAGTTCGATCCCCGGCCACCGACGCACTCCTCCTTTACCTTACTAAGCCAGAAATAAGACTGGCAAAAAAAGGAAGGTTGGGCATAAGGCTAGCTAGCAACCCTATCCCGTAAAAAGTAAACACCAATGCTAGCGAAACTTTGAGTCTCTAGCTTGACTGAAGCCCTATGTTCCACAGGGAATGTATAGCAATAAAAAAAATTAAAAAAAATAACAAATAGCATGATGTGATAACTAACTCATCCCCTTGAGGATCTTACAGTCCGTTTCAATATATCACTTTACATGGTGTACTCGTCTATTTCATATTAGAGTTGAGTGAGACAATTATAATTCTCTGAACTTACTGGAATCTTCTACATTAGATTATCAGTTAAAAATTGATTTTATGTAATCAACGATGATACTTGTTTAATTTGACTTAAAGCAAGAACAAAAGTGGTTTGTGCAGAATAATATGGTACCATCATTTATTTCGTAGGCTTCTCATCAGCTGCTTACAGCCTAAATAAATAATGAGGTTTGCGTACAGAAAAGTTTTAACATACTTGCAAATTTTTACATGTTGCCAGTTGACAAAAAGTTTCACAGAGAAACTAGAGGAAGAATTTATGTTCCTCGAATAGGTGCTGAAAAATAACGGTTACCCTCAAAGATTCATAAACAAATATGGAAGATGTGAAGCCTCAAATACCAAACAAATCACAGTTGAAAAAAAGCCTGTCTTCATTCAACTAGATTTTAAAGGTGAAAACATTGCAGAAATGGTCAACAGAAGACTGAGAACATCACTAGCCAGAGCCTATCCTGCAGCTAAGTTGGTTCCCGTCCATCGAACAACATGCTCTTTGGTGCAGTCAAAAGTCGATAGATACCCTTCTCATGTTAACTCCAACTGTGTATACAAATTTACGTGTATCTGCGGGAGCAGTTACATTGGGAGAACAGAAAGAAGGGCACACCTCCGATTTTCTGAACATGTGCCAAAAAGCCTACGTCTCAAGGGAACAAACTCTTATAGCAGCGCTATCACTAGACATCTTCTCGACACGGGTCATGAGGTAGAAATCGAGAAATCCTTTAAAATTATCAATAGACAAAGGAGTTCCATTCTCCTCAAGTTTGCCGAAGCAATCTCTATCAAACGCTTGAAACCAGATTTATGTGTTCAGAAAGAAGCAGTTATTAATCTCTCTTTGCCCTGGTAACTGAATGTCTTCATTCTCTCATCTGATTACGTAATCTTTGTCTTTAACCCCACCCCCTTTTATATTCTGTAATTTTGCTTGTCTCTTGTTTCTATGATTTGAGTTGAACTCAGTACATTGTTACCTAATTTATTAGTCACTCTGTATCTAACTCATATTTCGTCTTTATTACGTAACTCCTTTACCATTGTATGCATACATCTATTTTGTTTAAACTTGAACTGCATGTGTAAAAACTATATAAGCGCAATTTTCTGAGCACTGTTCACTTACTGTGGAACCTTTTGTCAACTGGCAACATGTAAAAATTTGCAAGTATGTTAAAACTTTTCTGTACGCAAACCTCATTATTTATTTAGGCTGTAAGCAACTGATGAGAAGCCTACGAAATAAATGATGGTACCATATTATTCTGCACAAACCATTTTTGTTCTTGCTTTAAGTCAAATTCATCAAGGGGAATAAATGCATGAACTTGTTTAATTATCAAATTGTATACAAAGTGAAGTTCATATTGTAAAGCTGATAAAAAATGAGTCATCATGTTAATCCACTTGATAAGTGAATTAATTCAGTGGATAAAGTTCGATTGAGTTCTTTCACCCAAGCGCCAACCACCCAACCACTACCTCCCCCCTGAAGCAATTTGTGTGGTATGATGATTAGATTAACTTGAATTCCGACTGACGTTCTCCACGAGATTAATGATTCGCATGAACGTGAAGGATAAGCTACCACTTTTGGCTGGCTTCATCTATGTGCATCTACCAATTCACCTGCTCGTGTGGAGCCAGGTATATCGGTCGTAGTCAGCGTTCGCTATCCAAACGCGTCAACGAACATTTACCTTTATAGTTTTATAAAGGAGAAAACCGATGCCCCCGCAGCTCGATCCTTGAACATTTGATCGAATCTGGACACCAAGTCAAACCAGAAATAAACTTCAAAGTTATCTGCAGAATACAAGGCAATCTTGCTAAAAGTGTACGGATCAAACTTCTCCACATCGCAGAAGCAATGGCAATTCATCTGCTAGATCCTGAACTCTGCATTCTACTCAATTGTATTACGTCATTCAATTCACTTAATCAATTCTATTTTATTATTTGTTATCTAACTAACGGTTGTTTCCAAGCCAAATAATACTTATATTACGTAATTATCTAAACTTTATAAATCTAATGTACACACACACACAAACAAAATTGTATATAAATGGGATCGTACAGCTCTGTGAATGAATACGCCGTCGAAAAGAGTCTCTTCACTGAACGCCTTCTTTTCTTTTAATTTGAAAGGTTAAAGAAGTATTAAACACGTATATTATGCCTTTTCTTTCTTTAACAATAAGTGAAATGATGTGGTGTGGTGTGGTACTCAATGGAGAAAACAATCCGAGGGGGGGCGGGGATACTTCTGAAATACATTAACTCATGCTGATGAGAAGTAAGTGTATCTCTAACTGTATATATCCAACTCGGAGAACATCTCAGCATCTTTAATGAAATAGTCTTCACATCATCACTCTTCAATGGCGGAGGTTAAAGTATCATAGGCAAAGTCAAGGTCTTTCAAAAGCTGACCTTCAAAAACCGATCATCACACACAAGGAATAGGAATGCTATGAAATATCACACTCCAAATCATCGAATCATGTCTGCCTTTTAGAACACAAGGATATCCACAAGGCTACATGGGTGTCACCAGATGGGCGAACCAAATCCAAATTGACTTCATCTCAATACTGCTCAAGAACATGGAGGCGCAGCCTACTGGACACGAAAGTAAGAAGACGAGCAGACGTTGGCTCAGACCACTATCTCGTACAAGGGAAAATCCAAATCAAATTAAAAGCTTTCAGAGAAACAGGAGCTGCAGATAGACCACAAGCCAAGTTCAACACTCAAAAACTGAAGGACCAGGATACAAAGAATATCTTTACTGCAAGCATAAAAGACAAAGCTGAGACACAAATCAACACAGACGAACAGGTCAGCGTCGAAAAGCACTGGAACAACTTGAAAACAGTATGGAGTCAAACCTGCATGGAAGTTCTAGGCAGAAAGAAGAGACAGGACAAACAGTGGCTCACTACGGACACTTGGAGACTAATAGAAGATAGAAGGATGGTGAAACAAAAGATTATCCAGTGCACCGACGAGCAACAAAAACAGGATTTGAATGCAAGCTACAAGACACTGAACAAAAGAGTAAATAAGAGTGCCAGGGAAGACAAAAGAAAATATTATGAAGCCATGGCAAGTGAAGCACAACAAGCTGCAGGCAAAGGAGATCTCACAACACTCTACCAAACAACTAGGTACCTATCGGGCAATAGTTTGACACAAATCAAGCCGGTGAAGGATGACAATGGAAAGTCACTCAACAAAGAAGTAGAGCAAAGGAAACACTGGGCTGAAAACTTCAAAAGACTCCCAAATTGACCACCACCTAAAACGCGCCCAGCAATACCAACGACGGAGACAGAGCTACCACTGAACACCAACCCCCCGACTAGATCAGAAGTCCTGAAGGCAGTCAAGATGCTAAAAGCTGGAAAAGCAGCAGGACCAGATGGAATCTCGGCAAAAGCATTGAAAATGGACCCAGAAACAACAGCGGACTTGATGACACCACTACTGGAGAAGGTATGGAAAGAAGGCAAAGTACCCGAGGATTGGAAGAAATGATACTTATTCACACTACCAAAGAAAGGAGACTTAAGTCAATGCAAAAAATGGCGCGGAATTATGCTCCTGTCCATCCAAAGCAAAATACTAAGCCGCATCATCCTGGAGAGAATCAAACATGCCAACCTGGATGAAAAACTTCGACCGGAACAGGCTGGATTCAGGAGAAACAAGTCATGCATTGATCAGATCGCCACATTACGGATCATCATTGAACAAAGCTTGGAATGGCAGTCACCTCTCTATCTCAACTTCATCGACTTTGAAAAGGCCTTCGACAGACAGTGTCGATCGAGAGTTGCTTTGGCAAATACTTCGTTACTACGGGGTGCCACCGACAATTATACATCTCATCCAACAGCTGTACGACAATGCTGCATGCCAAGTAATCCACAACGGGAAACTTACAGAATCCTTCGAAGTGAGGACAGGAATAAGACAAGCTGGCTGGCTGCCTACTATCGCCAATGATTTTCCTGATTGCAGTAGACTGGATAATGCGACAAACAGCAAGCAATGAGGAAACAGGCATAAAATGGACACACACGAAAAACTTGGAGGATCTCGACTTCGCCGATGGTATATGTCTGATTTCCCACAAACTGGAAGACACGCAAGCGAAAAGCAACAAGGTGGCAGAAGAAGCATCAAAGATAGGACTTCAGGTGAACATAGATAAAACAGAGGTGATGCAGATTCCTGGGCAACACCACCAACAGCAACAACAACAACAGACAACATTCAGCATAAATGGAGGGAACCTGAAAGAAACAACTTCTTTTACCCACCTGTGAAGCCTCGTTTCAACTACAGGCGGCGGAACTGACGAGGATATCAAAGCAAGAATCGGAAAAGCAAGACAAGCTTTCACTACTCTCAAGTCTGTTTGGAGATCAACACTCAGCACTCAGCATCAAAAATAAGATCCGGATTTTCAACTCCAATGTGAAGTCAGTCAGTGCTTACTATACGGATCAGAGACTTGGCCAGCGCGTCATAAAGAGCACTTCAAACAAACTGCAAACCTTCAATAACAGTTGTCTTCGCTCAATATTCAAGATCAGATGGCCAGAAAAGATCAGAAACAGAGATCTCTGGAAGCGAACCAACCAGGAACCGATTGTAAAACAAATAGGTAGGAAAAAATGGAGATGGATTGGCTGGTCATACTCTGAAGAGACCATCAAGTTACATCACTAGACAAGCCATTGCTCGAGTGGAACCCGAAAGGGAAGCGGAGAGTTGGTCGTCAGTGCAAGGGTGACTTGGAGGAGGTCATGTGAAGAGGAGATGAAAACGTGTGGGCAGACATGGAACCAGGTGAAGACTCTAGCAGAGAACCGAACGCAATGAAGCCCTATGTTCCTCTAGGAATTAAAGGATACAATAATAATAACAAACGAATAAAAGACGTAAAGCCGAATGTATGCCTCTATGCGAACAAGTGCCTGCTGACTGACGTTTGACATCAACCAGAATAGAATCTAAATAAACCGACTTTAAGATCATTTGGATAAAAATGTGATCCTCTCTTATAAATTCTAAAACCATTTAGATGCCTGTGTCATTTCAGGAAATCCCTACACCTAAAGTGATGCTACTTTGAAGGGACTTGATTGGTTACGGAGCTTTGATGTCGAACTGAGAGCCATTACAGAAGCATTGAAAAAATTCAAAGTGTACCGAACAGCCCTTTCGTCCCCGTTTGAGACTCTTCAATGTCACTCAGCCACAAGGGACCTTCGGATTGCAAGGCAAGCACACTGTCTGTCTGTCTGTCTGTTTTCGACATAGAACTTTGCACATATGTGCGGCAGTTCAAGTCGCCACACATCCTTTATGTAGCACGCAAAGCAAGAGAAGAAAGTAGGAGAAATGCATAATAGAGACAGTAAACAGAGGTGTGAGACAAAGGAATAGTAATAACGGAGAACAAAACAGTTTAATTGGAAATCATGAGTCACAAGGAGTGGATGCATCTGCGCCAGCCATCACTGAGAACGATTTTGAGCCATGTCACCAATTGTTTCCAACCATTGGTTTTTACCGTCCCGACGACCCCAACCAGGAAGTCTACATCTCCCTACGTGACTTAGACTAACTGTTGTGGATTTCATTGACTGGTGCCAAGTTTTCGTTTGACCGCCGCTAGCTCTTTTCCAGCCTGGCCCTATATCAGCTAACATTGCCCGTCGAGGAAGGCGATGACTAGGCATACGTAACACATGTCCCAACCATCTCAGTCGATGTAATTTCACAGCCTCATCGATTGATTACCCCTCCCACCTACCTAGCACTCGACCGACGCCTAACCTCAATATTGCTCACCTTATGATACCACTTCACACGGGAGATAGAACGCAGACACCTATGATCGAACACAGCTAATCTTTTCATGTCTTCTGCTCTCAATGGCCAGGTCTCACAGCCAGCCATAAAGGAGGACGAAGCGGACTGTTGAGCAGTACACACGCCCTTTGGTCGATAGTCGGATATCGCGTCTACGCCAGAGACGGCGTAAACTGGCGTATGCGAACCTAGCCCTCTGTATTCGTGCTGAGATTTCGTCGGCGATCAACCCATTGGGGCTGATGGTACACACACACACACACACACACACTGGGACTGGATCTAATGACAAATGAATTCCAAGTTATGCTATTTTGCGATGTAAATAGCAACAACCACCGGTCAATGTCATCATCGGTGGATAACTAACTTCTTACTTGACTTGATGGACGCCGCTGGTCATGACTTCACAACTTCCAATACCTTCTCCCTGGTCTTCTAATGCTTCTTTAACTGATGTCATTGCGTAATCAAACTTGTAAGTAATCAAACCCCGGTGAACCAACCAACAACTGAAAATAAATCTGATGCTCACTGGCTGCAACTGGCCGTATACACAGGAAGTCACCTGGAGTTCTAGTGAGAGGTTGTAACCTGGAGAGTTAATTACCGATGACAGTGTCTGGCAGGTGCGCTATGAGTGTATTGGCGGAAGTTGGAGTTTATGGACCATAGGATTGGGTTCAAGTGACTGAAATTTCTGTCCATCAAAACTTCATTATGCGTCAGACAGTGGGAAACGAGAAGACAGGGATATCCTTGACCGACGCGAAGATCCTAGAAGACCTGGATTTGGTGGATGATTTATGTTTGATGTCACACATAATCGAAGACTTACAAGCGAAAACCGACAAACTGGTCGGAGAAGCAGCCAGAGAAGACAGGACTCCAGGTGAACACAGACAAGACGGAGGTTAGGAAAATAGCCAACCAACAACAACAACAACAGCAGCAATATCCACCGCCAATCACTATCAACGGGAGGGATTTGAAAGAGATTACTTCTTTCACTTATCTAGGGAGCATTATCTCAAGTACAGGAGGAACGGGCGAGGATGTCAAACCGAGAATCGGGAAGGCGAGAAACACATTCATCAACCTAATACCAATCTGGAAATCTTCGTCACTCAGCATCAACGACAAAATGATTTGGGTTTTCAATACAAACGTTAAGTCAGTTTTGCTATATGGATAAGAAACGTGGCGGGTCACAAAGAATATTTCCAACAGCCTGTTGCAGACCTTTATCAACTGCTGTCTTCACCCTATACTCAAGATCAGATGGCGGAAAGAATCACCAACAAGAAACTGTGGGAACAAACAAAACAAGAACCAATCACTCAACAAATATGCAGGAGAAAGTGGAGATGGATGGGACACTCGTTGAGGAGGCCACTTGCTGGGTGACATCGCGCGTCAGGCCATCGCTCGAGTGGAACTCGAAAGGGAAGCGGCGGCGAGTAGTGGGACGTCCAAGGGTGACATGGAGGAGATCGTGTGAAGAAGAGTTGAAACAGTATGGACTAACATGGATGCAAGTGAAAAGTACAGCAGAAGACAGAAACAAGTGGAGACGTGCAGTTGAAGCCCTATGTTCCACTAGGAACCCAAGGGAACAATAATAATATAACAATAAAACTTCATTAAAGTTGATTTACCTTCCTCCTTTCTAATTATTTATTCATTGAGATGAAGCATAACAAAACACAGTGTGTGGTTAAAAAAAAATGATATCCCAGTAACGAAATAATGAATTCATGATACTACTGATTGTGGGTCCACGACCCCCCCCCCCGCAATTCGGGTCTTCAAATCTCTTTCTACTTGTCACATCTTACAACTATATAGACAGAAGCACAAGGAAACCAACTTGAAGTATTTGTGTACATTAATAATAACACTTCAAGCCGATTGTTCGACAACACTAGTCACCCCTATACAAAATTTCATTTTACTATAAGCTTAAAAAAATCAGTTAGTTTTGCATATATAGCAGTCTACTCACCTGTGTATTCTTTGATGGCTCGTTATTCCCTGAAGATGTTGTCGATCGAGTCAACTTCCCCTTTAATAAAATAAAAAACAAAAATGAGACTTAAAGTAAATATATAAAACATGCAAGTTAAAGCGAACCCTTTGGAAAAAGCGGGAAAAGAAAAATGGAATGTCACTCAACAACCAGCCACATCTGTTCTGCGCGTGTGTGTGTGTGTGTGTCGGCTAATGATACTACCTGGTTGCTCAAACCACAGCAGATGCAGCAGAGTTCAGACTTGTGACTCACTACTGGTTGCAAGTCTAGCGCCCAGATCAATGAGGCACAGCTGCACACAAGGGAACATACACAGCTGATACAAAAGGTGGAATACACGGCGGCTTCAACAGCACATTTCCACTTTATCCTGTTCTCTGAAGTCCTCTTGCCCACAGGCTTTTCTCCTCACACGATTCCCTTTATGATGATCCCCTCTGACACACGTCCAACTCATCGTTTTTGCCATTTGGCTTCCACTTGACAGCCTGGAGTGCAATGGTATTCAACGGTCTCCTCTCTTTCGGCGTGTGTGCCGCCCAATAATTCATCTTCAATTATTCTCCGTCATACTCGTAGAGAAATACATTCTTGACTGCTTCAGTCTCAGAGTTTCTTGTTGTTATTTTTTTTTCTGGCTAGCGATCTAATCTTCAGTATGGAGCTGGAGAAGGTAGCTGTTGATAAAAGTCCGCAGTAGTCTATTGGAAATGCCAAGTTTCTGATTCATCTAGAAGAACTGACTGACTGACTGACTTCACATTTGTGTTGAATAGAATCCAAATCTTGTTCTTTATTCTGAGTGCAGATTTCCAAACTGATTTCAGAGTGACGAGGGTGTCTGTCTTGCCTTTCCGACCCCCCCCCCACCACTCCTTGTTTTGACATTCTCATCCGTTCCGCCTATATAGTTGAAATGCCGCTGTCAAGATAAGTGAAGGAAGTGACCTCTTTGAAAAATTCCTCCCACTCACAGGGATTAGTGTTGACTGTTTTTGATGTGGTTGTGTTCTCTGAGCTGGATATTTAATTTGCGAAGCTTTCATTACCCTACTAGGCGACATCTTCAGCGCATACTTCAATTTGAAGTGAGCTTTTCGATTTCTCCACGATTTTATTAATCATCTCTCCTGGCGACCTTGGACGTGATTGGCTGTTTTTGTGTGTTTTCACACCTTCTAGGTTATTTGTATTGTAAC